CGCCGCAGACAGGAGGCCGGCTTGGTTTGTTTTTATGACCGAAATTGCTGAAAACAACTCGTGAAGTTTGACCCGCTAGAAGAGCGAGGTGCGCGAGAACGCTGGGACCCTTTTTCCACCTGGATCTCCGCTCTTTTTGGCCCTCATGTCCCTCCGTCGTCGGACTAAACTCGCCGCCACTTCCTCTCCGCCTCGGCCGTATCTAGACCCACAGCGTGTAGCTCAGACCACGCTTCAATATTGAGCATAAATCAAAAATGTCTGCATCAAGCTCACTGCAACACACTGCTGTAAGAGTATAACCAGGAAGCGAGGTAGGAGGGCAAAATAGGTTTAGCGCCACCGCAGCACGGGAGGGAGAATTACGCCCAAATGGATCAAAATAGACCGGAGGAAAAAAAACATGAATCGATTCTCTTGCGGACGTGTCGATGCATCGGATCGTCGGCTGTTGGATCGATGCATCGATACAAAACCATTATTATTTACACCCCTAGTCAGGAGAGTACAAATTTCATTGCATTTGCCCACCGGGCAAAAAAAAATTATTTATCACTCAAAATTACTTGAAAATCACCAGTGAAATCGAAGCGTTGCCGGCGCCATTTTTGTTGTTTTGTACACATTCTGGCGTGATTTGAAAAAGCCAGGTGATTTTCCTCCAGATGGCGTGATTTTTGTCCACCTAGTGGTAATTTTGATCTAGTTACCAAAACAACAAACGGCTGCATTTATTTTGAGTCAGTTAAAAGTCAGGGAATTCTGAAATGATGTCAGACTGTGGAAACCCTGAATAAAATAACTATCTATAATGATTCTCTAGAAAAGTCACATTATATTAATAGTATTATCTTGTATAAACAGACCGTGACTCTAAAATAAAAGTTATTCATTTGTGACATTGACTTCTGTCTGTGATTTATCTTAAGTTTTTAACCTCTGAAGTTTTTTTTTTTTTAGATTTTTAACATTAACATTTATATTTTTCCAAGCACACAACAGTTTAAAGGAGAGTTTAGTTTGAAAAGAATGTGCAGGAAGGATTGAAAAGCATGTTAACACGGTAATGTAGGCTGGAGTTCATTATCTGACGCATGCAGATACACACCAGGAACCTGGAAACTTAAAAAATACTGAATTACAAAAAACATTTAAAAAACAAACCTGTTTCATTGATATATGTACAAAAATGAATATTAGGAACTAGGGATGCACGATATTGGGATTTTGGCCGATGTCCGATATGCCGATATTTTCAAACTCATGTAGCCGATAACCGATATCGATACCGATGTTAAAGCTGGACAAAAATAAGTAGTCATTGAAAATAGCAGTTTTGTTATCCATTTCTGACACTTTGAAAAATAATATACTCAAATATATTTTCATTGATTTTTAAAAACGCGGTATCGATCTATTTTACTTTCAAAATCTCGTGAAATTTCATCGTTCTGTTACAAACTCTCGTGATATTTTGCAAATTTTTGTGAGATTTTGTTAGTAAAATAGATCGATACCGCGTCAATATATCAACATATAAAAATATGGCAACATTTGGTGAATTTTCGGGGGATTTCGTAGCATAACGATGACATATAGCAATATTTCATTAGTAAAAGAGATTGATATGGTGTTTTTAAATGGCAATATATCAGCATATGAAGATATTGGGATATTTTAATGGATCAATATTTTTTCCCTCGTCTTTAGAAGTTTTTAAGTCTGTAAAAAAGAAGTTTTTGAGGAAGAAGAAAAAGTAGTATTTTTTTTTTTTAGACTTTAGAAACTCAGAAGCTGATCAAATATCGGGTTAAATATCGGTGGGGGGGCCGATGTCCGATATTCAGTTTTAAGGCCGATACCGATAGGGGGCCGATTATATCGTGCATCCCTATTAGGAACTATATTTATATAACATTATACTGGGCAAGAAAAATTGTTTCTGGGCAAATGAAATGTGAAAATCACTAGCCCAAAGTTCAAGTGGTAAAAATCCTTAACATCAACCCCTGGTTTGCATCACAGCTCAGCAGAATAAGGTCGGAGGTTGACTTCTGTTTTGAGGCTGGACCTCCCTGAATGGATGCCTTATCAGAGTCCCTCTCGCCTGACGGTGGTGATGTCATCGCTGTACGATGTAGGAGGAGGGAACTGATGGCAACCCAAAGTGATGATATGCTGGACTCATGGCTGCTATTGCAGCCCTTTTTTTTTTCCATAGATGCTCATAATGAAACTATGAAGCTTCAACAATGAAAGTTTGATAAAAAAAAAAAAAATCTGCATCAGTCAATGTCTCACCCCCACACACCCACTGCAAGGCATGATGGGAAACACGCCGCCCACCGTTAGTCAGCCTGCGGCTCAGATGAATGGAATTCCTAAACTTTTTCCACTCCATGTTTCTTCCCGTCATTCCTTCAGGAAACAAACTTTCCCCGTCCGTCGGAGGTCACGCTTCCTCATATCAGGAGCCTCAGCCGGGAAGTCAGACGTATGGTTCCCATCTGGCCGCCCTGCTAATGAACCCTGCTCCCTGCATTCCCAGCATTCCTCCCTCCTCACAGAAGGCCTGCTGCTCTGCTGCTGCTGGGGGGGGGGCTGATTAGCAGCGAGGAGGAAAAGGTGTTAAAACATTAACAGGGTCAAAGACGAACCCCCCCACCCCACCCCGACCCTCAAAGTGAAACCAAGCAGAGTCGTATTTCTCCAGCATTTCTCCGTACATAAAACGTTTGTTTTGTTTTAAATAAAAGGAAATAAAATAGAGCTGAAGGTTTAATGAGGCTTAGTTTACTCCTCAAAGTTTCAATATTTAATAAAATTATTTTAATAGGCTACGTATGCCTTCAAATGTATTGATTTTAATGATTGTCTTTTACTCTGTTTTTAATGTTATGGTCTTTTAACCTTTGTTTTAATTTTCCCTTTTTGAACTGTAGCGCTTTGAGACTTGAATTCAAATGTAAAGTGCGTTACAAATAAAATTCATTATTATTAATTTAAAACCATTAGTCATTCTCGGGCTGAAATCAAAAAAGCTGATGAATCAAAGATGACTGGTTAGAGACTCGGTCTTTAACAACTTTAAAAACCAGAACCTCATCAGGACTTCAAAGACCTTCGATAGGAAAACCAGCCAATCAGAAAGGACTTTAGGTTCCTTTTATGTCCTCATCTACAGCCTGGTAATAAGAGAAGAGAAACAGCATCCATTCTATTCAGTTTATTTCTATAGCTCCAATTCACATCATATCATCTCAGGTCACTTTCCAGTTCACCAGATCATCCAGTCAGATTGATTCAAAGTTTTCTATCTAAGGAAAACCAGCTGATTGCATCGACTCATTGACTCTTCAGCAATCCCTCACACTAAGCATGCTTGTAGCGACAGTGGAGAGGAAAAACTCCCTTTGAACAGGAAGAAACCTCCAGCAGAACCAGGCTCAGTGTGAGCGGCCATCTGCTGAGGCCCACTGGGGTTCAAGGAGACAGAAGCAGACATAGAAAAAAAAAGCATAGATACAAAAGGCAACTGTCAACCAGCTCCACAGGCGGCCCCGTCCAGGAAACACACAGCCAGGCAGACAAGCTCCGAGCCAGCTCCCATGTCAGAGGATGAAGAGAGCACATCCAGTTAGTCACAGTCAGAGAAACAGGACTACACTGGAAAACAGGCCAAGCTCCAACATCTAGAAACAAAGGTGTTGATGGCAGCAGCACAGCTGATATTTCTCTCCAGGATGGAGTCACAGCCAAACAGGAACAGACCAGATGAAGCTACTATGAGAAAAAGCAGAGAGAGCAGAACGTTAGAGTAGGGTTGTCAAAAGTATCGAAACTCAAAAAAGTATCGATACTGAAATGTTGTATCCGGATACAATACTTGTTTTTAAAAGTATCGATACAGTGCCATCACCAGTGGCACCTAAGCAATCATTCATCTAAAGTGCAGAATAGAGGAAAATGCACATTCAGAAAACTGTGTGATTGAATAATTCTACGCACTTTTCAGTTTCAGACTTTTTTTGTAAGAGGTGCAGCTGCTGAGAATTATTTTTGTTTCTTAACCGGTTTGGCTGGTGTCATTGTTATGTGATCAAAGCATAGCCAAGGAAGGAACACTTCATTTTAATTTTATAAGTTTTTTATCAAGCTTGTTTAATATTGTGCACAGCATACAACCTTTATTGTATTTATTTATTGTATTTTATTTATTAATGAAAATATTTCTGTAGAATTTTGGAGTCTTTGTTTTTATCCTTGTGGTATCGAAAATGGTATCGAGTATCGAATATTTTCCTTAGTATCGGTATCGAGATGAAAAGTTTAGTATCGTGACAACCCTACGTTAGAGAGATTAGCTGATCCAGTCTGGATCTAAACATCTGGATCCTCTAAGAACCACAGAGCATGAGGAACACGACCCGCCAGAATACATCATAAAATATGCACCATAAAATGTTTAGATTTATTTATTTATCAATCTAATAAACGATTTAAAGCATATGTGACATTATTTAAAAATGAATGTAATGGCTTTATTTTATATGTTTAAATTAATATAGAGTATCATAATATAGAGTATTTTTAGATGGTTTTCAGTCTAGGTGTATAATTGAATAATAATTTAACTTTATTGATCTCACATTGGAAAAATTCACCACTGTATTTTACCCATCCTTTTGGGGAGCAGTGGGCTGCCATTGTGTGGCGCCCAGGGAGCAGTGTGAGGTTAAGGGTCTTGCTCAGGGACCCAGAGTGCAGGCTGTGAGGATCAAACCAGGTACTTAAAACCTTCTCAGAGCACAGAGCACTGCTCTAACCACTAGGCCAACACCTTCCCACATGGATCAGGTGGTCTGTAATGATCCTGGACGGACGTCTGTTTCCAGCCCGACTTCCTGGTCCTGGAACAAGATGGGAGTCCCTCAGGGTTACTGGGAGGTCTGAGGCGCGTTCTGGGCTGCAGCTCTCATCGTGTCCTTGTTGTCCAACAGGTGGTGACCCCGACCAGAGTGGGCCAGACCTACTCCTACGGCGCCGCACAGCAGCACAGCCACCAGCAGCAGGACCTGTATGACGTCCCGCCCAGCAGGTCACAGGGGGTAGGTGATCAGAGAAACTGTTTAGCTCCTTTTATGAGCGGCTGCGTTTTTAAGACCCTAAAACCCGGCGGGACTTAGACCCGTTGGTCCCTATGAGACCAGAGACGTGGGTTCTACTGAGACCCAGCAGGTTGGATCAGAAAGAGGAAACCCGCCCAACGGATGGGGAGTACGCTCCCACCATCCGGACACATCTACAGACACACTTTCCTCAACCTCTGTTTCTGTTGCCATGGTAACATCCTCCCAGAGCTCACCTGGTCAGCAGCAGGTTTTCTTCAGTAAACTCAGAGCGTCCTGCGCTCTCCTTACAGCCAATCAGACTGTTTTATTTCATGATTTTTGTCACAGATGTGTGCCGCTGATAATAATGATAATAATTGATAGCAGCTGTTGTGAAACTGAAAACTCAGAGTTCTCGAATTAAGATTAGATCAATTTATGTTGAGGATTTTAATCTGAGTTTTTTAAACCTGCTTCATGAAACAGTTCTGGGTTTCCCTATTAGATCCTGTTTCTGCGGTTTCCCCGCCCCTAGTGGCCACAGTGGGAAGCGCATCCATAACGGCCTCTTTAATCTACTGTTTTTGGCTTCGGTGTTCTAGGTATACGACATTCCTCCTGGACAGATGTTCCCAGGACCCCCGGCTGGAGCCAGAAACCAGGGAGTCTACGACGTCCCGCCGTCCCAGACGGACCTTCGGACGCAGGGCGTTTACGACGTCCCTCCTTCTTCCCAAGGGGTGAGTGAGCGAGGGCTCCGCCTCCACGGCCCGTCAGCCTGACACCCGCCTCATTTCTGGAGGTTGGAAACGGTTTGTTGACGCAGCTCCTCGGGTTTCTCCCCATTAAAGGAATAATAATAGGTGGAGCGACATATTTATGGTGTTCTTGCGGCTCCTCTAAATGAAAGCTTTGCTTGCCAGCCGGGCCGAACAGAACCCAGCGAGTGTGCGGCTTTTTGTTGGAGCTCTTCTATTTCCAGAGATTCCTGCAGCGCCGCCCGGACAGCCAGCAGTTTGTTTGGACTAACCTTCGCCTCTCTGGGACCTGTTATTTGCGTCGCTCCTAATTACAGTTTTCTGGGGCCCGTCTGGCTGCCAGGAGCTCAGTTTTGTTGATTGTTCTGCTTTCCCATCATGCTCTGCTGCCTTTTGGACACGCATTGGGCTCTGTTACAGCAGCCGGTGGAGAGGCTTTGAAGTACTCAGAGGTATAATCTGCGCCTTCGTCTTTCACTTCCTGATCTCACAGCAGCAGCGATCGTAGAAAGAAAGCGCTCCTCCTCCAGATCCGCTCAGTTTAACAAAGTCTGTGTGAAACTAAGTGCTGCTCCATCTGAGCAGGTGTGTTTCTACAGTGGGGGCCGCGGCCCCTTTATGATTAGAACGAAACAAATTAAATTAGATTTTAATATTTTCCTCAACATAAAATATATTTTTAAATCATTATTATAAACTATAACTTCTATTTCCATTTTGCAGGAATAAATTTGTATGAGTCTGATTTTAAAATTGCCTTTAACGCATCTTTGTCATAAAATGTCGCTCTGATAGATGACTTTTTACTCTGATTCTTTGTATTTTCCTTAAGGCTGCTGTTCTGTCAGATCAGCATACCTGTAGTTAGTACACATTCTCAAGACGTCAGGTTTGCATTTATCCCTTTAGTTTTGTACGAAAGATAAACTTTAATCTACCTCAGCGGGCGTGTATCCAAAAAACACCAAAAAGTCAGTAATTAAATAGTTTTTTTGTACATGACTAAAGGGATACACGCCCATTGAGGAAGTTTAAAGTTTATTTTTCGTACGAAACTAAAGGGATAAATGGGGATAAACTAAAGCAGGGGTAACCAATTAAAAATCAGCGCGGTCCGAATAAAGAAAATCATCAACCTACGGAAGAGGATTAGGGCCACTGAAAAAAAAAAAGTTAACTGATTTTTTAATTTTATTTCAGTATAGTATGGGAAAAAAGTCAGAGTTCTGACTTTTTTTTATTGTCAGAATTCAGTCAGAATTCTGAGATTAACCTTTTAAAGCCCGATCCAAGAATAAAACTTTTTTTGGTTTGAAGTCCTTATTTGGCCTTTTAACAAAATATGTAAAAAGAAAAAAACAGAAATACATTTTTGATATTAATAATTTATCACTATGCGATAAGTCAAGATTATTTTTTGTGTAGTCTTCTGCCCTCTGTTATCAGGTATATCTGATTGTGTACAATAGGATTTTGAGCAAAGTTTTTACCATTAAATTATGCAAAAGGTGTCAGACGCAAAACATTTCAGAAACCGTATGTATCAAATACGATACATTTGGCATTATAGGGTTAAAGTCAAAATTCTCCCTTCTTAAGCTGCTGCCCCCGCGACCCGACCCCGGATAAGCGGAGGAAGATGGATGGATGGATGGATGGATGGATGGATGGATGGATGGGTCAAAATTCTGAGAAAAAAAGTCCTACGGAAGAGGATTAGGGCCACTGAAAAAAAAAAAAGTAAACTGATTTTTAAATTTTATTTCAGTTTAACATGGGAAAAAAGTCAGAATTCTGACTTTAATCACAGAATTCTGACTTTTTTTCTCAGAATTTTGACTTTTTTCTCAGAATTCTGACTTTTTTCTCAGAATTCTGACTTTAATCTCAGAATTATGACTTTTTTTTCTCAGAATTTTGACTTTTTTCTCAGAATTCTGACTTTTTTTCTCAGAATTCTGACTTTTTTCCCATACTATACTGAAATAAAATTAAAAAAATCAGTTAACTTTTTCTTTTCTTTTTCCAGTGGCCCTAATCCTCTTCTGTATCTTCCGTATCAACCAGTAAAGGTCTGGAGACATTTTTAAGTCTAATCTGTTACTTTAAACAGAATTTAACACTGACATAAAATTAGGTTTTTATGCATCCATGTTATACATTGAATTTTTAAATAAAAAAATATAAAGTTTTTCCATATTCAAATCTAAAATGTTTTTTGAAGTAGAGAACAACAATCATTCAGGTTAGTTTATAGACAATTTCCTGATTCCCATATTTTCTCAAACCCCTGAACTGATGGTTTTTTATTTTCTTTCTTTTTTCTGTCTTAATGTTGGCAGTGGGCTTTAGGCTGCCCTGCAAGGCTTTAAACCTGGGTTTAACCGGAGACTAAGCCATTCTCAAGCACATATCAAGGAGCTCATTTTGAGCCTGGATCCAGATTTATTGTTGATTCTGTTCATGGTGGAGAATCCTGCTTCACAGCAGCAGGTTGAGCCAAACATCCTCTAAATGTGCAGGGTCATCTTTGAGCACGCCATTTCACTTTTCTTTCACCAGTTCACCGCAGTTCTTCCAGCAGTCCACACTTTCTCTGCTCTCTTTTTCTCATGGTCTTCTCCTTCTTTCCCATCGCCCGGCTTGCCACAGGTTTGCCTGCTGGGTCTAAAAGTAGCAGCAGCAGCAACCCAGACTGACAGCTCATTGGCTCATTTGGATCACGTGCAGCCTGGAGCCGGACGCTCCCCAGGGCTTTACCGTATTAACAGGAGAAGAGGCGCAAGTGAAATTAGAGACTGTTGTCAGACAACATGCAGTAATTTATAAATGTTTTAAACGGGTGTAAATCACATCCATCATGGCGATTCGATTCAGTATCGATTTCCTGACCCGACAATTCAATTATTTTTGATACTCAAGAATACGCCACGATACGATACGACTTGATTGTTTTTTGTTTAGTTTTTTTACCTTACTGGCTAGACAGTAGTTCAATGTCAAAATAAATCAATGAAAGCTGTATTATCGTTATGCATTTTATCTGAGAAACAACAGCAAATAACAGAAGTAGCAAAGTTGTTCCAGGAGGAAATGGATAAAAAGATGAAACCATGAATCGATTCTCTTGCGGACGTGTCGCTGCATCGGATCGCCGGCTGTTGGATCGATTCGTCGATATAAAACGATTATTATTTATACCCCTAGTTTTAAATCAGGTTGGGTCCGGATTAGCCAGCAGGTGGGTCTGGATCCGGACCGCGGTCCGCTAATCCGTGACCTCTGATATGCTGGTCTGACAGAACACCGGCCAATCAGCTTCCAGTTCGGTTCCTAATTTATTTTTTTCATTTGTAAACTGATCAAAAGATTGATCGGACTGAAATGTTTTATCCCAGATGTAAAGTTGGAACAAATGGTTCAGATCTGTGTTTATAAACCTCTTGTTTTTGGTTCTGGTCCACAGATCTACTCGGTGCCGCCCTGCAGGACCAACGCAGACCTCCAGGAGGGGAACTACGACTTCCCGCAGCCTCTCAGGCACAAACAGGAAGGCATCTACGACGTCCCGCCTCCCGTCCTCTCCAAACCTTGCCACGGACCCCAGTCTCATTACGATTTCCCCCCCGGCGCCGAGCCGCCCCCCCAGCACCAGAACGGCAACGAGGGCATCTACGACGTCCCGCCGCCCGCCCTCCACTCCGGAGCCGACTCTCAGCGCGACGTTTATGACTTCCCGCGGGGGGTGCTGCCCCTGCAGCATCGCGGCTCGCCCGCCGAGCGGGACGGAGGCAGAGGCATTTACGACGTCCCCACGCAGGACGCTCGCGCCGCGGCAGATGTGAAGGACGGCGTGAACCGCCTGTCCATCTCCAGCACCGGCAGCACACGCAGCAGCATGTCCACCTCCTCGTCCTCCACGGGCTGCGAGGGCCGCCTCTTCCTGGACGTGGACGCCGGCGTGCAGAGGTTGTACGGCCTGCAGCAGGGGGTGGAGCTCTCCGTCGGGGCGTTGCATTCGATGGCGTCCTCCCCCCACTGGAGGACTTTTCCCTTAATGGAGCGCCACGCCAACGACGTGCGAACGGTGCTGGACAAAGTCCGAGCTTCTGTGGGGGACATTATCGCCTTCGGGAAAGGCGCCGCCGCCAACGCCACGTCCCTGTCGGACTCCAGCCTGCACAGTAAGCTCCGGCGCCAGCTGGCCCGCCTGGAGGACTCGCAGCAGATCCTGGTTCAGACCCACCAGGCTCTGGAAAACTGCGGCTGGGCCCTGAACGCCATGACCTCATCCAGACAGCACCACAACAAGAGCGACAACCTGGACCGCTTCGTCATGGTGTCCAGGACCGTCCCCGACGACGCCAAGCAGCTGGCCTCAACCATCGGCAGCAACGCCGAGCTGCTCTTCAGACGGACGCACCACGACGGCTCCTTCTCCGCCGGCAGCACGCCGGAGGAAAACCACGTCCACCAGCTCACCTCGCCGTCGTCCGATACAGACGGCTACGGTCCGTCCAAAGCCTTCCCGGTTCAGCCCAACCAGGACAAGGAGAACATGAACCACAGCGAGAAGTGCGTGAAGAGCTGGATGGAAGACTACGACTACGTCCATCTGCAGGTAGAGACGTTAGCGCAGTTAGCTTTCAGTTAACAAACCCAGGAAATAAAAAGTCTAAAAGGTGGGAAGACGTGAGGATCATGTAGAACCTGTAGGAGGAATACCAGTGGCGGCTGGTGGAGTTTTCTCCAGGGGGCGCTATATCTTCAAATTAGCCGTAAAAAGAATAAAATATACACTAAGGGATCACACCGATATATTTACATGAATGACAACAATAAAAACAACATCCTAAAATGTTCTGCAAAGGACTTTAAATCAGTGCTAGCTGTCTTTATCCATGCTGGCTCAGATCCTGACGTTTGGAAAAGGAGGCAAGAAAGCAGGCTAGCGCTTTAGCCTCGCTGCTAGCAGTTAGCCTCGCTGCAGGCAGGTAGCCTCGCTGCAGGCAGTTAGCTTCGCTGCAGGCAGTTAGCCTCGCTGCAGGCAGTTAGCCTCGCTGCATGCAGATAGCTTCGCTGCAGGCAGTTAGCCTCGCTGCAGGCAGTTAGCCTCGCTGCATGCAGATAGCTTCGCTGCAGGCAGTTAGCCTCGCTGCAGGCAGTTAGCCTCGCTGCAGGCAGATAGCTTCGCTGCAGGCAGTTAGCCTCGCTGCAGGCAGTTAGCCTCGCTGCAGGCAGTTAGCCTCGCTGCAGGCAGTTAGCCTCGCTGCATGCAGTTAGCCTCGCTGCAGGCAGTTAGCCTCGCTGCAGGCAGTTAGCCTCGCTGCATGCAGTTAGCCTCGCTGCAGGCAGTTAGCCTCGCTGCAGGCAGTTAGCCTCGCTGCAGGCAGTTAGCCTCGCTGCAGGCAGTTAGCCTCGCTGCATGCAGTTAGCCTCGCTGCATGCAGTTAGCCTCGCTGCATGCAGTTAGCCTCGCTGCAGGCAGTTAGCCTCGCTGCATGCAGTTAGCCTCGCTGCAGGCAGTTAGCCTCGCTGCATGCAGATAGCCTCGCTGCAGGCAGTTAGCCTCGCTGCATGCAGTTAGCCTCGCTGCAGGCAGTTAGCCTCGCTGCATGCAGTTAGCCTTGCTGCAGGCAGTTAGCCTCGCTGCATGCAGATAGCCTCGCTGCAGGCAGTTAGCCTCGCTGCATGCAGTTAGCCTCGCTGCATGCAGATAGCCTCGCTGCAGGCAGTTAGCCTCGCTGCATGCAGATAGCCTCGCTGCATGCAGTTAGCCTCGCTGCATGCAGATAGCCTCGCTGCAGGCAGTTAGCCTCGCTGCAGGCAGTTAGCCTCGCTGCATGCAGATAGCCTCGCTGCAGGCAGTTAGCCTCGCTGCATGCAGATAGCCTCGCTGCAGGCAGTTAGCCTCGCTGCATGCAGTTAGCCTCGCTGCATGCAGATAGCCTCGCTGCAGGCAGTTAGCCTCGCTGCATGCAGATAGCCTCGCTGCATGCAGTTAGCCTCGCCGCAGGCAGTTAGCCTCGCTGCAGGCAGTTAGCCTCGCCGCAGGCAGTTAGCCTAGCCTTGTTGCTAAATAATTCTATAAACCTGCCAATCAGCCGCGCTTTCCAACAGACGACTGTGACATCAGCGCTCTGGCGGGAGGTGGTGTGCAAATAGGGTCGTTTCTTAATTCACTAGAAGACGAGTACGAACTCGTCTCCTCACCAAGTCTGTTCCTAAGAAGAACAAATAAAAGTCTGGACTCGGGGAGAACGGGATAACGCAGGATAAATCTGCCAGATTTAACAAAGAAAGGAGCTTAGTTTTTTCAAAATTTATTGTCCAAATTAAATGTCTCCCCAATATCTTTATATATAATAATAATAATAATACATTTTATTTGAAAGCGCCTTATCACAACACCCAAGGACACTGTACAGGCAGATAAAAACATCAAAAACAGGAAGCTAAAAAGTACAAGCATAAAGATGCCACAGAAAACAAAACAGCAGGAAGTAAAATAAAACCAAAGGAAGAAAAGGAAGAGAACAATATTGAAGTGATGCGTAAGAACTAGATGGGATAAGACTGTCTGAACAGGAAAGTTTTGAGTCTGGATTTGAAAAGAGGGAAGGAGTACGGAGATCCGGAGGGAGGGAGTTCCAGAGGTGGGGAGCAGAGCGACTAAATGCCCGGTTCCCCATTGTGACCAGACGGGCCGAGGGAACGGAGAGCTGGAAGGAGTGGGAGGATCTTAGGGAGCGGATGGGGGTTTTAACGTGAAGGAGATCTGAGATGTAAGATGGAGCCAAGCTGTGGAGGGCCTTGAATGTAGTTAGGAGGAGTTTGAAGAGGATTCTTTGTTTGATGGGGAGCCAGTGGAGTTGTTGCAGGATGGGAGTGATATGATGAGAAATGGGGGTCCGAGTGATCAGGCGTGCTGCAGAGTTTTGGAGGAGCTGTAGTTTCTGGAGGGACTTGTTTGGAAGGCCAAAAAGAAGTGAGTTACAGTAATCGATGCGTGAAGTGATGAGACTGTGAACAAGAATGGCGGTAGTTTGGGGAGTGAGGGAGGGACGGAGACGAGAGATGTTACGCAGATGGAAGTAGGGAGACCGGGTGATGTTGTTAATGTGGGACTGGAAGGAGAGGGTGCTGTCGAGGACGACACTCAGACTCTTAACCTGAGGGGAGGGGAGGACAGTTGAATCATTGATGGTAATCGAGAAGTTATTCGTTTTGGAGAGAGTGGGAGGTGTGCCTACTAGGAGGACTTCGGTTTTAGAGCTATTCAATTTGAGGAAGTTGGATGAGAACCAAGAATGGATTTCTTGGAGACAGAGGGTGAGGGAGATGGTTGAGTAGAAAGGTAGAGCTGGGTGTCGTCCGCGTAGCAGTGGAATTTGATATATATATATATATATATATATATATATATATATATATATATATATATATATATATATATATATATATATATATTCCACACAGACCATTCAGAAAAAAAATGTATCTGTTCGTTCAGCCAAATGATTGGATTAGATCTGCTGAATCCATCAATCAGACCAATCCTTCTGCTTCTTCCTCCACAGTGTTTTCCAGGTTCTATTTTCACTCTGATCGCTCTCAGGGAATCAATGCTGTTTATTGGACATAATAGAATCTATTTTAGGAATTATTCCAGGCTGTCTGCTGTAGCTTCATGTCTGCAGCTTAATCTGAATTTCTGCCGTTTCTCCTCTGAAGGGAAAAGAGGACTTTGAACGTCAGCAGAAGGAGCTGCTGGAGAAGGAGAACATTATCAAGCAGAGTCCGGTGCAGCTGGGTCAGGAACAGGTGAGACGCCTCAGACCTTTAACCCCTTAAAAGCCCAGAGCGTCTTAGGAGCAAATTCCACCTGAAATAAAATATGTTACTTTAAGTAGCTCTAATTTAATGCTTTTTAATGCTGTTAGGAATAATTTTCTTGCCATACATAAGTAGCCATGACTCTCATTGAATTTAGCATTTTCCCATCCTCTAGCTTTTCTCCGCCTCCAGCTGGCTTTCCGAACATACGATCAAACAGAAGCAGTTATATCTGATATAATACATGTTTTTATAATCTTTTTTTTTTATAAATCATTATAAATGCCACTCTAATCCCATTTAATAATTGTTATTGCCAATTAAGGCAAATACAATTGTTTGTATTTGTTTGACAGAAAGTTATGAGGAATATTTTTCACTATTTCAAATGTCACTTTGTCTTATTTATAGGTGATTAAACAGAGAAAAAAATGAAAAATATTTTGCCTCGCCAAATATTTTCCAAAGCAAACTCTGCAAAACAGCATTAGAAACTCTGGATGCACCGTCAGACTTTATAGATCCACATCTTGACTAAAACTCAAGCTAATTTGATCTGAATAAGTTGAAGCATGTTTGTTCCACAAAGGTTTCAGTGAGCAGAGTGCGAGGCGGAAATGGGATTTTGGCATATGGCCGAAAGTACAAAAATGCATTTTTTTCCACTCATAAAAGGGAATCTGGTCAGACAAATACGCTGAATTCCATTATTGGAATGAGACAAAGCCTTTGATCCTAAGATTTAGTATTTATTTCATTGAAATTTACCAATAATATCACCAAACTGAATAGAAAATAAGAATAACAGAGCAAACTTAAAAATTCGACTGCCAAAAATTGAGCTGCAAAAAAAAATTTTCTGCAAAAAAATTCAGCTGCAAAAAAAGTGCCTGCAAAAAGTTTGTGTGCAAAACTTTTTACGTGCAAAAAATTGGACTGCAAAAAAATTCAGCTGCAAAAAAAAAAATGCCTGAATAGAAAATAAGAATAACAGAGCAAACTTATGTAACGCATTCACATCGCCTGAAATGGTCGCAAAATTACCTCCCACCCCTCCTTGGAAAGGTCCGAGCCTCTAGTTTGCAGTGATGGCGGCCATTAGGGGGCGTGGCTAAAGATGAATAGCTGCTGTTGAAGTAATGCATGTCAGCTGGAATTTTAAATCTCATATTATTTGTTTACGAGGCTATAAAACAAACAGCACTTGTGAAAAAATATTTTTGAAATCTGGTTTAGAAATTTTAAATCCCCGTTTGAAAGGCGTGTGGATGAAACACCATGTGACTGCGTTTTAGCCATTTCTATACATAGATCTTTCCTTCTATCCTTCTCAGATCAATCAGTTTAAGAAGCTGGAGCAGGAAGTGATCCGACCCGTGGAGAACGACATCACGCAGTGGATCCCCCCCTCCCCCTCAGACTCCTCCGCCCGCGTGTGCGCCCGGGACCGCCAGCTGCTCGGCTTCTACTCGGCTCAGTGCGAGCAGCACTTCTCCACCCTCCTCAGCGCCGTGGACGCCTTCTTCGGCTGCGTCAGGGCCGGACAACCCCCCCGGATCTTCGTGGCCCACAGCAAGTTCGTCATCCTCAGCGCGCACAAGCTGGTGTTCATCGGGGACACGCTGTCCCGCCAGGCGTCCGCCCCCGAGGTGGCCAACCGGGTGATGAACTCCAGCAACGTGCTGTGTGACCTGCTGAAGACGGTGGTGGCGGCCACCAAAACGGCCGCCCTGAACTACCCCAACACCGCCGCCATCCAGGAGATGGTGGACCGGGTCACGGACCTGTCGCACCACGCGCAGCAGTTCAAAGAGCAGCTGCTGCAAATGGCCGCTCTGTGATTCCCCCAGAAACTGCTAATATATAATCCTGGTAAATGTAAATATTCATTGCTCCCATCCTGCTGTAAATACTCGGTTCTGTAAATATCTGCCGTTTTCTGTGTAGATAGTTTTCTAATGTTAGCGTAGCCGCAGTCGCTGCGTCTCTGCGGGAAGTTTTCCAGAACATTCCTAATGAAGCACCTTACGAGCTGCTTTTCCATCTTCCTCCGTACGGATCGCTGCGTTTTTCTGTAAATCATGTCAGTCTGTGGAACACGCCACAAAGTAAACGCCTCTTCTCAACAAACAGCTGTTTGGTCTTTTCTTCTTCTGCCGGGTCTCCGGTCTGCTGTGGTCCATCCCATGAACATCTAAGCTGTAGCTACCAGATCTGCTCGGGGCCCCGCCCCTTATTATGATGTCATCATACGGCAACTTCACACGGACAAACTGTATTGCATCCGTTTCTTAAGAATAAATTCTCTTGTGGAGTCTCAACACATTATATGAATATTGGATATTATTTCACATTTCATTGGCGATCTAAAGTAGCCGAAAGTAGAAAACGATCATTGTCAGTTTTGTGTACACCGAATTTTAAACACAGAATTTTTTTACACAGTGAATTCCTCACACAGAATTTTTAACTGGTGAAAATTCAGCTGCAAAAAAAATCAGCTGCAAAAGATTCTGCTGCAAAAAATTCAGTTGCAAAAAATTTTACTTGCACAAAATTCAGCCACAAAAAATTGGACTGCACAAAAATTCAGCTGAAAAAAATTTTGCCTGCACAAAATTCAGCTTAAGAAAATCAGCTGCAAAAGATTCTGCTGCAAAATTAAGTTGCCAAAAATTTACCTGCAAAAAATTCAGTTGCAAAAAATTTTACATGCACAAAATTCAGCCACAAAAAATTCGAATGCAAAAAAATTCAGCTGCAAAAAATGTGACTACAAAAATTTTACTTGCACAAAATTCAACCACAAAAAATTCAACTGCAAAAAAATTCAGCTGCAAATAAATTTGCCTGCACAAAATTCAGCTGCAAAAAAAATTAGACTGCAAAAATTTTACTTGCACAAAATTCAACCACAAAAAATTCAACTGCAAAAAAATTCAGCTGCAAATAAATTTGCCTGCACAAAATTCAGCTGCAAAAAAATGTGCCTGCAAAAAATTTCCTTGCACAAAATTCGGCCACAAAAAATCCGACTGCAAAAAAATTCAGCTGCAAAAAATTCGACTGCAAAAAATTCAGATGCAGAAAAAATTTGCCCGCACAAAATTCAGCTGCTAATTTTGTCAAAAAAAAGAAAGTTTGCCACCAGCCGCTTCTTCCGGATCAAACCAAGAGCCTTGGCAGACAGGGGTGCTGCATTAGCTGTTATTTCACCCAGATGAAAAACTCTAATGGCCGTCTATTAGTAGCTACCTGACGTTTTGTAATCATATCTATTTAACAAGAAAAACTCATTCAGCTTCATTCAGCCGGAATGAAATTCCCCCCCAGACATGTCCGCGAAAAAAGAGGACGTCTGGTCCCCCTACCATATCAACAATCTGATGTTTCAGTGAGCGAGTGCTTGTTGCTATGATGCGTCTTTGCTCAGCAGCTTGGCTCGTTGTAAACCAACCAATCAGAGCACAGCTCATCTAAATATTCATGATCACACCATAAAAGGAAGAAAACCTGTCATTTCATTCTAGGGCTTTTAACCAGGCTGCATTAGGGCTCATAGAACAGCTAATATGCCATTTTCAGCCCAACCAATGTTACACACCCTATTAGAGACCTGAAGGACCAGATACCCTATAGAATCATTCTATCGCCCTATTAGAGACCTGAAGGACCAGATACCCTATAGAATCATTCTATCACCCTATTAGAGACCTGAAGGACCAGATACTCTATAGAATCATTCCATCACCCTATTAGAGACCTGAAGGACCAGATACTCTATAGAATCATTCTATCACCCTATTAGAGACCTGAAGGATAAGATTGATCTTATTAAAAATAAGATCATAAGCACTCCTCTATCCGCGATTGTACCTGAGGTAGTCATGGAATCTGAACTGGGTTTAGACTGCTTTGATCCAGTTGAACTCTCTGAATTAGCAAAATTATTGTCTTCATCTAATCCTTCAACTTGTATGTTAGATCCAGTTCCAACCAGGTTATTTAAGGAGGTATTCCCTTTGATCTCCTCCTCCATTTTAGATGTGATTAATCTATCTCTGTTACAGGGATATGTACCTAAAGCTTTTAAGGTTGCTGTAATTAAACCTCTGCTTAAGAAACCGTCTCTTGACCCAGATGACTTGGTCAATTATAGACCTATATCCAATCTTCCTTTCTTATCCAAAATTCTTGAGAAAGTAGTTGCCAAACAAGTTTGCGATCACTTCCACCATAATGAACTTTTTGAAGAGTTTCAGTCTGGCTTTAGAGCTCATCATAGCACTGAAACAGCTCTGGTGAAAGTCACTAATGATATTCTCATGGCCTCAGATAATGGACTTGTATCTGTGCTCGTCCTGTTGGATCTTAGTGCTGCATTTGATACAGTTGACCATAATATTCTTTTAGAAAGACTTGAATATTTTGTTGGAATTAAAGGAACAGCACTAGACTGGTTTAAATCTTATCTATCTGATCGAATTCAGTTTGTTCATGTTAATGATAGATCTTCAACACGCTCAAAGGTTACCTGTGGAGTACCACAGGGATCAGTGCTAGGACCAATTCTCTTTACTTTATACATGCTCCCAATTGGTAGAATTATTAGACAGCATGGGATTAATTTCCACTGTTATGCTGATGATACCCAGCTATATCTGTCTATAAATCCAGATGAAGCTAACCCATTACATAGATTACAGGCATGTCTTGAAGACATAAAAACCTGGATGACTCTTAACTTTCTGCTTCTGAATGCAGACAAAACAGAAGTTATAGTCTTTGGACCAGAGTCTCTGAAAAAGAAACTGATTAGCCAGTCACTTCATTTGGATGGGATTAAACTGATTTCAGATAATAAAGTAAAAAATCTTGGTGTTGTTTTTGATCAGGACCTGTCATTTAAATCCCACATCAAAGAGGTTTCTAGAATTTCCTTCTTTCATCTGAGGAACATTGCAAAAATTAGAAATATCCTGTCCAGGGGTGATGCTGAGAAACTAGTCCATGCATTTGTTACTTCAAGGCTGGACTATTGTAATTCTTTACTATCAGGAAGTCCACAAACTGTAGTTAAAAGCCTTCAGCTGATCCAAAATGCTGCAGCCAGAGTTCTAATGAAAATTAAAAAGAGAGATCATATCTCGCCTATCCTGGCTTCTCTTCATTGGCTTCCTGTTAAATCAAGAATAGAATTTAAAATCCTCCTTCTCACATATAAAGCCTTAAATGGCCAAGCTCCATCTTATATCAGAGATCTGATTGTTCCTTATGTTCCTAACAGAGCACTTCGCTCTCAATCTGCAGGTTTACTAGTGGTTCCTAGAATTTCTAAAAGTAGAATGGGAGGCAGATCTTTTAGTTATCAGGCTCCTCTCCTGTGGAACCAACTACCAGTTTTAGTCCGTGAGGCAGACACCCTGTCTACTTTTAAGTCTAGGCTTAAAACTTTCATTTTTGATAAAGCTTCTAGTTAGAGTGGCTCAGGTTATCCTGAGCTATCTCTATAGTTATGCTGCTATAGGCTTAGACTTTTGGAGGACATAGGGACCCCCATTTCATCATTCTGCTTCATTCTCTCTCTGTTCTCCTATTCTGCAGAATCTGTTAGTTCAATCTCTAACCTTCTGCTCTCTCTGCTTTTCCTCAGAGTAGCTTTGCCTCGTCTGTTCCTGTTTGGCTGTGACGTCATCCTGGAAAAAAATATCAGCTGTGCTGCTTCTATCAACACCCTTGTTAATAGATGTTGGAGATCGGCCTGTTTTCCAGTGTGGTCCTGTTTCTCTGACCGTGACTGAGTGGATGTGCTCTCTTCGTCCTCTGGCATGGGAGCTGCCTCGGAGCTCGTCTGCCTGGCTGTGTGTTTCCTGGACGGGGCCGCCTTTTACAGCTGCTTTTTGTATCTCTGCTTCTGTCTCCTTGAACCCCAGTCGGCCTCGGCAGATGGCCGCTCACACTGAGCCTGGTTCTGCTGGAGGTTTCTTCCTGTTAAAAGGGAGTTTTTCCTCTCCACTGTCGCTACAAGCATGCTTAGTTTGGGGGATTGTATTTGAGTCAATGAGTCAATGCAATCAACTGGTTTTCCTTAGATAGAAAACTTTGTATCAATTTGATCTGGTTGAACTGTAAAGTGCCTTGAGATGACATGTGTTGTGAATTTGGCGCTATATAAATAAACTGAATTGAATTGAATTGAATTGAATTGAAGGACCAGATACCCTATAGAATCATTCTATCACCCTATTAGAGACCTGAAGGACCAGATACCTTATAGAATCATTCTATCACCCTATTAGAGACCTGAAGGACCAGATACCCGATAGAATCATTCTATCACCCTATTAGAGACCTGAAGGACCAGATACCCTATAGAATCATTCTATCACCCTATTAGAGACCTGCAGGACCAGATACCCTATAGAATCATTCTATCACCCTATTAGAGACCTGAAGGACCAGATACCCTATAGAATCATTCTATCACCCTATTAGAGACCTGAAGGACCAGATACCCTATAGAATCATTCTATCACCCTATTAGAGACCTGAAGGACCAGATACCTTATAGAATCATTCTATCACCCTATTAGAGACCTGAAGGACCAGATACCCGATAGAATCATTCTATCACCCTATTAGAGACCTGAAGGACCAGATACCCGATAGAATCATTCTATCACCCTATTAGAGACCTGAAGGACCAGATACCCTATAGAATCATTCTATCACCCTATTAGAGACCTGAAGGACCAGATACCCTATAGAATCATTCTATCACCCTATTAGAGACCTGAAGGACCAGATACCCTATAGAATCATTCTATCACCCTATTAGAGACCTGAAGGACCAGATACCCGATAGAATCATTCTATCACCCTATTAGAGACCTGAAGGACCAGATACCCTATAGAATCATTCTATCACCCTATTAGAGACCTGAAGGACCAGATACCCGATAGAATCATTCTATCACCCTATTAGAGACCTGAAGGACCAGATACCCGATAGAATCATTCTATCACCCTATTAGAGACCTGAAGGACCAGATACCCGATAGAATCATTCTATCACCCTATTAGAGACCTGAAGGACCAGATACCCTATAGAATCATTCTATCACCCTATTAGAGACCTGAAGGACCAGATACCCTATAGAATCTTTCTATCACCCTATTAGAGACCTGAAGGACCAGATACCCTATAGAATCATTCTATCACCCTATTAGAGACCTGAAGGACCAGACACCCTATAGAATCATTCTATCACCCTATTAGAGACCTGAAGGACCAGATACCCGATAGAATCATTCTATCACCCT